TTCTATTTTTCTCGTGTTTCTTTAGAACCCTGAGGTTAGTTTTTTTTTAAAAGATACGCCGCGAAATACTCTACAAAACCATACTTAAACTTTAATTTTAGAACTTCAATCAAGAAAACTATACAAATTATACGAAAGATGAAAAAAATAAAAACTTTCTGAAGTCAAAAACGATTTGTGTTAACATTTTGAAAGTAAGAAAACCTGAATCAGCTGTTATGTAGCCCTGACTTCACTATCTTTTAGCTACACTTCACATTTTTTCATATAAAATCATGGAAAAATAATCATTTTTTTTGTCGGTTGTCACGCAGTTTTTCATTAATTTTTTAAATTCTGGCTATAGTGGTGCTTTCGGTAAAACTCCACCAAACCAAAAGCTTTTTCGATCGGATTTGTTTTGTTTTGATTAGAAATAATTGTTTTTCTCTATCTAACTGCAAAATTAAAACTTCGATCATGTTTTCCGTTTCTTGCTTGGGCACATTGTTGGAAATGCGGGTCTGTCAATTTTTGACGTATTTTTATAACTTCGTTCTCCAGCACACCAACTGCTTTCAAAAAAAATTTTCCAGATTACGAGAAAGATTCAGAAGTACAAAAAAAAATTGCGTTCTCACTTTTGCTACACTCTTTTACGAAAATAATAGCAGAAGAAAAAAGTATAAGTCGAAAAAAATACCAAATTTACAAAGTTTTTTCGTCTTTCGTATAATTTGCATAGTTTTCTTGATTGAAGTTCTAAAATTAAAGTTTAAGTATGGTTTTGTAGAGTATTTCGCGGCACATCTTCTAAAAAAACACTAACCTCAAGGTCCTAAAGAAACACGAGAAAAATAGAAAATACTGAGAACGCCATTCATTCTGCGCCATCCATTAGCTTTCGTAAAATAATATCTGCAATAACATGATTATGAATATTATTGTAAATAGTGTACATACAATCACCACTACAATAACAGCTTATTCATCTGATAAGAAAGTCATATTTGGTTAGTCAATTTTCATCAGCATCTAATTATGGTAGTAAATATAGTAAATAAGACAAGAAAACAAATTTAGCGATGCTTTTATGGGACAGAATTCAAAACGCTTTCTAATTCTAGTTTTAGAACATGAACGAAAGTTAAAATAATAAAAAAAAGGAATTCAATTCAATTCTTCAAATAACTGTTAAGTTTTGAAAGAAAAATATCATAAAACCAAAAGTTTGGTGCATAATTCGAAAAAAAATACAGTCCTGTATAAAATTTGAGAGGAAAATTTATCAGCGTGCGCCTTAAGACCTAATGCAAAACTTCTCCTACAATGCGTGTCATAAGTGTTCGTATGATAGTGTAAAAAAGTTTGTCATGATTTTTTTTCCGGAAAGAAAATATTAGAAAAAAGTCTTTTTTACCGTTGAATATAAGTTTAATTCAATGGGTGTTGGTCAAAGTATAAAAGAGCATTCAACGTCACGTTTCTAATTCTCAAATTTATTTTATAGGTTTAAAATACATCGACATAATCAGAAAAAAAATTTATATACAAAGGGGTATTGCGAGAGAGGGATTATAGGGGGGCGGGGGTCACCCACACATCCAATATTCGTTATAGCTTTGTTTTTTATTAGTGAGATACGAAATAAAAAATTCACAATACCTCGGACGAGAGTTTTTTTGATCCATCCTACTCTCTCAATCTTGGATGCACTTGCGACACCTCTGCATGTACATAACAATATGAGAGTAAAACAGAAAATACAGATGGCTAGTTATTGATAATTAATTCAAGACTAATTCGATTTTTTTGAGCTGATATAAATGTTTTCTTTCGCGAAAATACCCCTTGCACATAAGATGGCACGAAACTAAAGCAGAAATAGAGAATTTTATTATTAACTAGTGGAATGTATAAAGTTATGTCTATATAATAAAATTCTTCTGGAAAATCATCCTGAACTTTGATAATTGTGTTGATCTGTCGTTGTTTAGTTTGAGTATGTATGTTCAGGAGTTATAATATGAATATTAAACTCTTCTGTATCAATACTACGAATATCTAAATATAGAAAAAATAGTAGTTTGCTATAAACTAATAATTATGCTTTCGTTCTCATTTACTAAATCCAATCAATTCTAAACCAGTTTCTTCAGCAATCAATGCAAATAACTTATCTATTAGACGACATTTAACATTGAACTGTACAGGTTCACGAGTAAATAATTTTGTCTATCTATTTCTAAGAATAGCTGCCACGATTTTATTAGCTATCGGTTGGCTCAGAAAGAGTATATGATGTAATCAGAATGTCGTATCTCCAAGGTGAATATGCATCAAAGCCAATGCGTGAAACAAAGGGAGCAGTTAATCATAAAATCTCTTACGTTAGTATTAAAATAAAATTTACTACTAGAAAAATAATTATAAAATATTGAATTAGACATGTATAAATTTGTAATCACTGTTTCAGACGAAACACGGTCTATTTATCAGCATTTTCAATATTTCAGAGATCACTGGAGATTTAAAATGTTGCAAAAACTACTGTGGACAATAATCCTTGAGTAAGGCATTTTAGTAACTCACCAAGACGAATTCAAATTCAAATATGTTTTATCTCACCATATATTGCTTGACTTGACATAGAGCAATCACTGAAACATTGATAATATAAAACGGATATTTGGATCAATATCTCTATGAGTGATACCAATGACTATATGTTCAGATGAAAGTATTAACGACTAATAATCGATTAATGGTTTAAATACAGACGTTGGTGTTGATTCTAACTTTGCAAATATGCCGAAAAAGATGATTGACGAGATAGTTCTAATAAGCTGTGTTGTTGAGGCTTATTTAGATTCAGTCAAAATAAAGAGAATATTTTGGTTTAAATTGATGTGATAGTGATGGTCCAAAAATAGGTTGGTGAATTCAGTGGCGGCGCAAAGAGGTTGGGAGCATGGGGGGGTAAATCCAAAAATGGGAGTAAGGTCTCCAAAAATAAGCCCCCGACTCTCCGAACTCATGGTGAAGTATAAATAATTGATGAGCATCACTAATTAAGTTTGCCTAAACGTTACATTCGCTGTAATTTTCTTAGACGTAGGCGGAAAAAAATAGAAATAAGTCATCTAAGTCGGTCAAGAAAGCTTCTTCAAAGAGCACATTTAATATCAGTTTTCGGAGAAAGCAGCACTTTAGTATTCGAAAAAACCAAAATCGGAGTAAATCATCCCGCAGGTTTCTCCGAAATTCGGAGTAAATCGTTCTTATCTTTTCCCAAATTTGGGGGTAAATCGTTCATATTTTTTAAAAAAGTATGGGGGGGTAACCCCCCTCCCCCCCCGGTCGAACCGCCACTGGGCGAATTTATGATATGATACACAACCCCTTGAAGTGAATTCACGTTGACCGATATCACAATCTAGGTAGGTGATTTTCCGATTTGTATTTGTAGCAACTGTGGTGAATGCTGATTTTGATAACGATGAATTAATTAACTAACGTAAGTATACCATTCTCCTTACCACCACAAACAAATACAATGTAGGCATTACAACATGACATGTAGCAATACGAAGGAATTGCTTTTAAACGATATAGGCCTTTTTCTTAAAAAATACAGCAGTTAAAGTAGTAGTAGTAGTCAGCGATTGATAAACATATAATGGTAGATAATCATTTTTTTTTGCATATCTTTAGATTATGTTTATCTTTCTCAAGCCTGTATTCTATGAAGAGCAAAACAGAATCATTTTTCAAGAGAGAAAAGAGTTGGTACTCGGCACAAGCAGCTTACTTTTGTGGAAATTCTTTTTAAAGAAGGGAGATCAGATATAAGTAGAGAAAAATGCATAAAAGATAAATTTGACACATTTGTTAAAATAAATCATTACTGAATCTCCTCTTTTGCATTAAATCAGATTTATAACAAGATTATATTCTTCGACTACTCAAAAAGATAGACTCACCTATATGTATTTGTTTCTTGATTTCAATATCTATACTAGATGCAGATAGTCCAATGGGAAAAACATTGATATTCGACGACGATTAAATGTTTCGGATTTTCTCATTATCCTTCATTAACATATCCCCATCTGACATTAGCTCGTTTGATATATTCACGTTATTACTATCAATGTCCTCTTCTTTATTTTATTCTCCTTGTCTTTTTAACAACTGAGTTGGTGATGGGGACGTTCGTGGTTGTTGTACGGTTTGTTTAATAAATCGCTCTACATTTTCATCATTTACAACATTAGAAGACCATGCAGCACGAAAAATTCGACGTTCCTTTCGTCTTTTCGATTTCTTAAACTACTGTTTGATATTTTTATTTACCTTTTTATTCGGTAGGCGCAGTGGTATCCTGATATTGTCACTCTTGCCATTTGTATGACAATCAATATGTTTTGGTTCAATGATATTTAATCTTTCATTAATAATAAATTGAGTAACCGCATAATCCACATTGATATATGCAGGAGGATCCATACATAATAAAGAAAAAAACAAGGCAACAAAACAGCATACTGAAACAACTTACTTCATGTACAGCCAATGAAAAGAAAGAAAAATCACAAACCTCTCAAGTGTCTAGAATTATCTATTATCGAAGAAATAAACGCACCGTTTTAAATTATCATATACAAAATTCGTTAAATCTGCATCTTTTATTTTGAAAATCCAACTCCTTTAACAATTTAGATGTGACAATAAAGAACGTGAAAGGAAAAGCATCGAAAAAATGTTGTTGCCTGACGTATTTAATTGTCGTTTTTCTTTCAATAGTAAATACACACACATACAGAAAAATAAATACGTAACGAGTGCCTGAATAATAAGAAAAGAGACCAGACAAGAGAAAAAAAATTGAGCTAAGAGACAAACAGATACTGTTTTGAAATTACAAGCAACAACCATATAAATACAAAGTGTCTTTCCCGACATGAGCAAAATAAGACACAAGTTATTTTCTTGGCTATAGGAGCAATGAAGTTTTTCTTTTATCGATGATGAGTAAGTACACGATCAAATGATACTGAACCGACATTTCCACCTCGCATCGATTGAGCTACATTTTGTTCAAAGGTACGTTTGTTGTTTTTTAATACTTCAGCAGCTTCTTTATTTAATGGATCATCAGCATTTGGTTCCTAAAAATAAAGCGAAATAATTATTCAGTATGAATACCAAAGTTGAACAGTACAAAGCTTCTTAGCTCGAGAAAGATGCTCTTCCATGATTAAGATTTGATACAAGATTTCGTTTCGTACTAATTGACTATCAACTACTAATCTCTCTCAGTTAAGCGTAGCTTATTTGTTCATGAGTTTCGAAAAGATTGTTGAGAGAGTACTCATTTTGATTGTTTTAATTCTGCTAATGCATATAAACTTATTTTCATTCACTTTCTCAAATACTAGCGATTACTACAGCCTTCTTTACAGTATTCACTAAACATTGTACTTTCTTGTAAAAAGGAAAAGCAGTAATCCAAACATAGTAGCACCCAAATCTACTTACAACGAAAAGAAATATAAGTCCATATATGACGGCATTGATCGTTAGCACTGGTTTCCAATCTTCCCTAAAAGAAAATTGAAAATAACTGAAATGATTTATGTCGAAAAGGCCACGGGTTCCAAAGACTTATTTGTTAGTCTGATAATATGCTTTTCGTGAAAATAAATTTGTTTATAGTGACTTGACCTTCTTGGACTAGTTAATATGCTCATTTTCCTTCTTATTGATTTTAAAACCCATTAGAAAGAACGTTGTATACTTATACCTAAAAATTATTACCTTAGAATATTCAAACAAACATTTCCTTCTAAATCAATGTTTGGATGATAAATTTTTTGCGTACACTTGACTTTTGGAGGAGAATGAGGATATTCAACTGGAACTCTGAATGAAAATATAAATTGTCCACCTTTGTAAAGTCCCTGAAAGACAAATTTTATTAAGTTTAAAGATGGCCGGCAACTATTGTCTTAGAAAAACATACTTCATCTGGTGTAAATGTTAAATTAAAATCTAATAAATTATTTGGATCAGGGTGAATCACTTTACATGTTCCTGGTAATTGTAATTCATTCAAATCTAAAGAGTAGAAAAACAAAGAGAATATATTTTCTCATCATTTCAATTTTTTTTTAATTATCATGTCACTTACCTTTTGTTACACGAAGAACTGCTGGAGTCGTTTTTGAAGTCGGCTTATTTGGGTCGCCCCCCGTTGTACTACGGTTTGTCGCCTCTTTGAAAGAAAAAAGATTTATCATCTGAAAAATACTTGACACTAAAAGATGTTTACGTAGTGGAAAAGAGAACATTTGATTAGTACCGAAGTAAGAACTGCAAGTTCAAAAAGCAGCAGTATTTCTTTCCTACTGACGAAGACTCGAATTGAGATTCAAATTTAAGAGAACTACAAGATAGGTTAATAAGAATAATGATAAAATGATTCCCGGAACTTTTCTAGTGCAAGAATACATGCTGTATTTATTGTTTGTCTACAGTACAATGCTTCAAAACTTTCATAAGACATGAGCAAATGATTCAGGATCGATGAAATATTGTGTCATGACGCTGGAAATAGTCAGTCAACTTAATCTATCATGAATTTGTGCGTGAAAGGTGACACAACACAGAAGAACCGCATGGAAAGATTTTGGTTGGTCATAACATTGAACCAATAAAAAATGTTGAATAAAAAATCCATACGTGTTGAGATCCCTGAATGGGATATGGCTACTCATAGCAACGATACTTTCGCAGTCGCAAAAACCGATATGTTAAGAAGATATGCGATTTAGAATTTAATGTCTCTTTCTCATAGCTTGGGAAATACATATTCGCTGAGAATTAGATTTTCTAAAAAATGAATTCGCATTCGCTGGGAATTCATTTCGGTATGCAATGATCATTATGCGTATTGATGTATATGGTGTGCTTGTGAATTCTCTTTTATTTTCTGACTGGCTCAGGTCACCATATAGGTTCCTTATGATTTTCAGTTATATGTATTCAAACAGTCAGATGCTGATAGTCCCTAAATTTTTTATTTATTTATTTTAGCTGTATTTTCCATGCCAACTATTTTCGAAGACTTTATTCAATGAATCCATATCTTTCTAAACATATACCTCCAATTCGTGTCGAAGTGGGGAGGGAATGCTATGAGATGGAGTCACGATAGTTTCCTAATCTGGATGGTGACTTGAACTACCATCCGTTTCAAAATACAACGTACTCGGTTATTTTTTGAATAACTTGTGTTAGCAAAGGGACAAAAACTTGCGGTTTTCCCAACTCAGCAGTCAAAGTTATTTTACTTTTTATAGGAAAATAAACGTTGTCATGTTAGTCAGAAGCATCGATTATCTATGCATTCTGTGTTTTTTAGATTGTCAGACTAGAAAAAAGTCCAATCCTAGTGGTTTTGGAAAAACCGTGTCCCTTGAAAAACCAAGTAAAACTAAAAGGTCGCTTAGATCTCATTTTTTAGAAGACACTTAGGACTATCTGTCTATGTAAAACAATCAATAGATTGCTACTTTAACTTCTGGAAAACCGAGCCGGCTTTCCAAAGATCTGATAGAAAACCGGTCTTTGAAATTTACTCAAAACTAGTTTCTGCTGGCAAAAGCATGTCTAAAAGTCGTGGCTATATAATGCTGAAAACCGCAGGTTTTTGTCTCTTTTCTAACAAAGTTATTCAAAAACAACCGAGTACGTTGTATTTTGAAACGGATAGTAGTCAGAAAATAAGAGAGAATTCGCAATCGATTCTGACTTGAACTAGTGAGAGAAAAAAATAAACATTGTAAGTCTATAACCAGTATGAAGACATGTTGCATATCGAAATAGTAAAGAATAACTCAGTTCGTCGCGAATGCGAATTTTCCATGATCTCCTCTTTTTCTTCATTGATCGAGAATATGCATGATAGAGCTTATACATTAACAAAAAAACTTGTGGAAATCTTTTTCATAAGTGGTATTTCTATTTCTATTATTCATTCTGATATTCACAATATCAGAAGTAGATGACCTTCAATTTAATTGACTATCTAATGTACAATTCTTAGGCAAGGCGACTAAGAGTTAATGAGCAAAGCGAATATATTGTATCATGATTATTTAATGGCATTAGGCATCAGTGTAACAATTCATATAACGGTATACAATAAGAAAACATTTATGGCGTAAAATCCATGCATAAACATTTTTATATTTAGCCATTTTTACCATACAGAATGCCATCAAATATCTAGGCTTATGATATGTCTTTTAGTTATGACTCCTGTATCATATTTCGGAGAATATTTACAAAATACTTAAATAACTATGCATGCTATGGAGAAGTCTGTAGAAAGTATTCATGTAAAGTGTACATATAGTCCATCCGTGTAATTTGAGAACGGGGTGAATTGTTTTGCGGCTCTAAGTCTTACATCTATTATTAATTGGTTAAAGATAAGTTTGCTTGAAATCTAGCGCGCTAGAAGCAAGCTCTATAGCTGGCTCATTTTAACTACACGTAGTTTTATAAATTGACCGAATGGAACTGGAGAGGTTTATTGTTTATGTTGATGGAACAACCATAAAAGAACTATTGATATTTATTTTAGCTTGTTCGCATAGAGCCTCAAAAATTGCGCATATTCATAGACAGAAGTTTCTGTTTTGTCAAGACCTCTAGCAAATCTAATAGTGAATTACTATCAATCGGAATTTTTCTGTTCTATTGAAAATTATAATATACTAATGCTCTCTACAAAAGTGGAAATGTACATGAAATAACACTTATAGTCATACTGTCTACGGCGTATCAAATTGTATTCTGAAAATCAGCTGTTTGTTTCCTATGGATGGGAGACGAAGATGTGATCTAAAGAAAAATAGTAAAAGAATAAAATGTGTCATTTGAGATACATACTTCTTAGAGAGTTAATTATCTTCGCCGAAATTAATGGTGAAATTACGTCGCTAGACTCGGCGAAAGATGTTTCAGTCTATTATCCTTTTCTGAAAACGAGGCGGCTCGGTAGAATGCTTATCACATTTGAACGAAAAGTGATAGAGACATGCGGTTTTCTCTGTTGGATAGAGAACATAAGAGGACGTAACCGTATGCAAAAACTAGGCTTTCAGGTAAGGTTTGCCATGGTAAGCCTTCCGATGCAAAGTCTACGAGACCGCTGTTCCTGATCGTACAATGGATTTTGATTTTCAAACAATGCAAGCGATAGGTCGAACCGAGATCTACAATTTTAGACCAGTCTTAACTCTCTATCTCTTATGATTCAGGAGCTATAAGCATTTTCCCGAGACCCAGATTTCGACCAGTTGACCTTGGGTGATCCTAAAATGAGTCGTGGTAGGGGTAATCGGCCACGCTGAGTCGAGTGGTGATGTTTATTTTTAGTATCAAACCGACCTAAAGCCACTATATCAAGATTTTCGAAATATCCGCTCTACTACGCAACATAGCCGGTCTCGTAGACTTTGCATCGGAAGGCTTACCATGGCAAACCTTACCTGAAAGCCTAGTTTTTGCATACGATTACGTCCTCTTATGTTCTATGTCCAACGGAGAAAATCGCATGTCTCTAACACTTTTCGTTCAAATGTGATAAGCATTCTACCGAGCCGCCTCGTTTTCAGAAAAGAATAATAGGTATGATTTTATGCGAAACAGTATACATGCAGGATACATATTTTTATTTCTATTTTCAGTGCATATTTGTGTGAACTATTATTTTATCGTTTTCGAAACGTCAACAAAGTAAGGTGTATTTATTGTATTTATGTTAAAAATAAGAACACCTTATAAAATTATCATAACCATTCTTACAGGAAGTCACTTACTCTCATGTTTGATGGAATCATTTTTGACTAATGCATCAGAATTTGGTATCATTAACAATTTGTTGACACCTCTATCATTAAGTTTTTTTCCACGTATATATAACAATTTCTCAAATCAAATAAGTAATATAATATCAGCTAAAGATATCAGTGAGCTCAAAAGGTTTGATTTTGATCCAATAGGTCATTACACAATCTAACTATAATCGAGGTTAATTTAGTGACGATGAAGATTCGTATACTAGGTTAGACTTATTGATCATATAAACTAATACAACTCCCTTTTACATACATCAAACTCGTTTTCAAAAAAGAAGCTCTAACTATTAACCAAATGCACTCTTCGTTGATTCTGCTTTTACTATAGCTATTTTAGTTTGAATAACTTCGTATTCATCTTTCGTCTTTTGAGAAAAAGAGAAACACAATTTGATATGAAGCAATCAATGAGAAAAAACACGTTGAAATTGTTTTTGTAGCGAAACACAACAAAAACAAACAAAAGAAAGAAAATTGAGACATTCTATTGTATATGTTTGATTCCAAGTATAATTACTCTTACTTGACATCTCTCACATGCGAAGAAAACTACACAACTTTGTACAAGAAAGAAAAAGAGTTTGAAATTTGAAGAAAACGAACACAACAGATATTTCGAGTGTGTGGGTGTTTAAAGTTTAAGTCATGTGGATGTGTTTATAAATGTATTGCCATTTGAACATCATCATATGTCTTGTGTTCTAAATTTAGCTGCTTGTTCTCTAACACGTTTTTCATATTCGACTTTATCTTGCATATAAATCGCATAACTAAAACAATACAATAGGCAAAAATTATGTATCAAAAGTAAAAAAGCTTTAAAAGCAAGTTTTATTATGTGTATTTGCACACGTGACGAACGTAGACTGAATAAAGAATCACTCTTAACAGTATGAATGAATTTAAATGCAATGAAACTACTTTTGAAGAAACTCCTATAGTTATCAAGCACTGGAATGGTTTTGAATAAAGTGAATTTTTGAAGAACGAAAAATATACTTAAAATATAGTGTGTAATACAGCCCGGGAACTTACGCTTCTGCCTGTGCTGGATCTTTACAATTTGGTTCATTTAATAATTCTTGTATACCTAATAATATTTGTTTGATGGTTATTGCCGGTCTCCAATCTAGAAGCAAAATAAGTCAGTTTAAACAGAAAAAAATAATCAGAGTGCAACTCACAATCCAAAACAATTACCTTTTTCTTCGTCTAATAATGACAGACAAACAGTACCAGAGGGGTAAACATTCTAAAGAAAAGCAATCATATGCTATGAATAACGTATTTATCATAAGGACATAATTTATTGGAGGTGGTGCACAATTCGAGTTCGCTGCGAAGCCATTTTTCTGTAACTTTTTTTCTTGCCAGGGTAGCTTACATATCTAGAGTATCTACCTAGAATAGCCTAGGGTATCGTGCAACCGCTTTTCGAACTCACTCTCAATCTTACCTCTTCCCTCTTTCCGCTGCTTACGAATAATCTTGTACATGTGCCTGGTATATATATATATATAGAATATAATTCACTGCGAACTGAAAATGTGACTACTATGTTTGAGTTCGCAGCGAACTTATATTGTGCATAGTATGACTTACTGGATGAAATAATGGTGGTTCAAATTTACATTTAGGAGGAGTGGACGGGTAATCGTCTTTAAATAACATTCCTAAATGAAACAAATCAACAAGATCAAATAGACTGTGAAACAAAACAAACAACCTTTTACTTACGCAATTTGAATAAACCACCTTCCCATGCTGTACCAGTTTTACCTAGATAAAAAATATCCACAATGGTTTACTAAAAGTCAGTTGTTGTTTTGTTTTCGAATAAAGCACATACCTGGAATACCCTAAAATATATAACCACAGCATGGATTACAAATGTTAAATAGTATTCGTAAGAAGTTAAAAGAAGAAAGCTCTTAGCAGCGGCGAATCGAACAAACAAATGAATATGTAATAAACAGATAACTTACACATTCCCAGTTTAATAAATTTAATGTGCCATCGGAATTTTTTGCTGGTCTCTAAGAATATCGTAACACAAACAAATAAAATTAGACAAAACGGCAGACAGTTTTTATTTAACTTCTTACCGCAATGAATCCCTAAAAATGATTAAAAAAATGAATTATCAATCGATAAATTTGACTAAAAAGGGGGGATAGCAGCGGTATTCAACCATTTTCGCTACAAAAATAATGATCATGTAAGAAAACGAATAACTTACAAATGGATGATCTTTTCGCCAAGCTTTGCGTTCTTCTGTTAAACGAGCAGCAGAAATACCAGCCATTAATCTACAAATTCGATCCAAAATAACACATGAAAATAAAACAGCTTTCGTTCGCTCTATATATAAATAACTAACAATGAACTTCCTACACTAGATACCTCTTACCTTACAATTATGGTGCAAATCGAGACTTAGTACCTGAAAACAGATTTCTGATATTCCTCTATTAAAAAGAATTTAAACAACTCAGAAGAGGGAAACTACTCTAGTTTTCAATATAAATAAGCTTTTCCTCCTTGAACTGCAAGAATCTCGCGTGAGACATAGGAAATTTTTAATGATATATTCGCCTTTTCTGTATATACTTCCGAGCACGATTAGTAGGAGAATGGATGACCTCTTCTAAAGATCGAACCATCAAAATTTTGATACCGTTTGGTATACATAACCTATGAAGTTCGTTGACGGAAAAGCTACAGAAAAACAGGGGCTGAGTGGGAGTCAGTCCAAGCTTTTATGGTATGGACCTTTTCTGTAACTAAAAAACGATTGTACAACCAATTTATTAACATAAGCAGTTATAGAAGAAGTCAGTAAACGAGAGTCAAGCTAAAAAAAGCAAAAAAATATTCAATTCAATTTTTAGCTAAATTAAATCACAATAGACTATTTGGTAGACCAATCTCAATAGTAAGAAAGAAACATCTTGAAATATCGGCTTTAACGTCAGGTTTCTTGTTGTTTGCACTTGTAGGAGATTTAACGCTTTCTTCAACTGTTTATCTGGCTCCTTAATACAACAAAACAAATCGAAGGTGACGCTACTGGTAAATCATTAAATCTATTTGGTAAGAAAAGTCTAATGGATATATACAGAACGAAAAAGACCATATAGTTGGCAGAAAAAACAAGTAAATATGACGCCATTCAATTTGACTATTTAATTAGACAGTTCGATATAAAACAGTCCTGTTATGGTTACTAATGGTCAGTAAGAAGATGTTGGTGTGCATTTCACAAAAAATTGCACGTCGAACTCCAACTGAAAAACTAAGACAAACGTTCATCGAAATCTAAGACACATCTTCTAGGTCTGTTGCACAAATATGGCTAAAATTAAACCGATAGACTACCTAAGGAAAGGTTAAGGTAAAATAAGGAATAATCAGCAAGTACTTTTACTAGTACTCCTCCAAAACTACAATACTTGGTTTTATTTATACCAAATACTGAATGAGAATACTGGCAGTTCTACTTGACGAATATTTGCAGGTAAGGAAGTACCTACAAGTAAATTTAATTCTGTAAAAAGGCAATTACTGGCTTCATCACGCATTACGGTACTTGGGCATAGCACATCCACTAGGATAAGCGACAGGTAAAATTGCAGATTGACTACATAGTTTAATATCACTATTTGTTGAAAAAAACGATGAATGTGGTTTTCTCTACAGATAGAATTATGATGCGTGTAATCGTTAATATATCCTACATTTATGTGCACTACCGTGCCGTCTAATACTTTTGAAACTTCTTGTTGTTAATATAAAGTTAGTTTTTATTTATGTCTTAAAGTGTCTAGGATTTTGCTCGTTTGTTGTTTGTGAAATATTGTCCATCCCTGTCCAAACGATATATATAGATTGTTTTGTCTTCCAGAAACCGAAAAAGTGTCGTTTTGGGGTGAAAATCCATTCAGAGCATGAATCAGAACTTCAGCTTTGATACTGTGATTACGACTGAGAGATCATTAGCTGCATGAGCTTTATATCGAGTGAAATTAAAATTCGTTCTTGCTTTCTTCGTTTAATTCTTCAAATTTGGTATGAGAAGAAAAGTTGGTGTATGTTTATTCATTTTATTGTAAACATAAATTCTTTTGCCTTTTAAAAGTGAAGAAAATGTGAATGATTAAGTGCAGGTTAAAAGAAACGAATTTATAGTACTTTTAGCTTATTTCGAATGGGATAGTTCAAAAAGTTAATTTGATCTAGTTATAATCTTTAAACAGGTTTAACTTTTAAAATATTTGAGAACGTGTCTTCTACTTGTACTATTTCGTTCAAAAATGGTCATTGGTAACTTAAACTAACCTAATAAGTTTGCCTTCTAGATGTTTGACTTGTAGTAATTGCAGCTAAACTCATTTTTATTTTATTATTATAATTAACTATGTACAAACTCAGCTTTCGAATATAACAATTCATCTTCAGAGTTGAGTGAAAAAACACCCAGTTCATTGTAGATTTTAAAGATTGAACAAAACGTCAATGCCAACTTCCGTCCATACTCATGATTATGATGGTGAATTACGTCAAAAATGGTTTGAAATCCGTCCGATGTTATTAGAAAAACATTTACCCGAATCATTACCATTTCAAGATACGCTAGAAGATATTCGTTCATGGTTAAATTCAAAATATACAAATGTAAAACGTTTTAAACGTGCTCATCGAAGTGTACAAATATTAGAAACACAACGTCATGTAAATTTTGATAATAAAAACGAAATTAATGTTGAAGAATTATTACCAATACTATGGTCAATTGTCAAAAAAAATCCAGATTTATATGATACCTTTTACGAACAGTTATGTGATATAACAGGCGGATCGTGTTCACAAGGACGATCTACACGCTTATTCCAATTTCTATTTTTGTTTGATACACCGCAAACAATAACTACTAAAGATGAGACGATAAATAGTACAGAGAATGGGATTTCAAGCAATATTGATCAGTAAGTTCTGTTTAATGTTAATGTGTAGAAATGTCTGTTATCAATTTTCATCGGCCTTTCCATTCATCATTCAATTAGGAAATATCGCCGATTTATAAAATCTCAAGTGGTTAGCTTTCTTTTACAGGGTAAGACAGATTTATAAGGCGCATCTGACTGTATGCTTTCTAGGACTTTGCGCTGTATGATTCTTGTAAAAACTAAAAAGTTTGGGCACTGGATACCTATGTGTGTGATACCCGTGTAGTAAAAAAATCTTTTCTCAATGACTTCTACTTTTTTGATAAACGCATTTTACCGTTGGATACGCGAGATGATCGTGCATTCGCGCATGTCGTTGATCTCCTGTATAATTCTAAGAAGGCTGAGAACCGTTAGAAAAACTAAATAATATTTTGATGTTTTTATAAGATCATGATCAGTAGAAACTCTCCGTCTCCATTAGCAACGCTTGTCTTAGAATCGAAATTGCAGAAAAACATCCTCACATTCTCAGCTACAAAATAGCACAAATCATACAAATTTATAACTCTTCAAGGAGAGAACACTTTTTTGTGAGATGTGTGTTATTTTG